GAGAGAGAGAGAGAGAGAGAGAGAGAGAGAGAGAGAGAGAGAGAGAGAGAGACGTCCCTGATGTGTATGCGGCAGTCTGCATGGGCAACTTCTCCATGTACATTGGTCTTCAGCTGGAAGTGATTCCTGCTTGCATTATCATAGATTGATAGGCTACAGTAGTATAGGTGCTGGAAGATCGCAGGCTGGGTGCTGGGCGCCCTTGGAGAAGGGCGACTGTCACATTGGATACAACGGTGATGGTGGCGAGAAGAGTCTGACATTGACATTTGAGTTCATTGTATTGCTCTTATTTGGCATGTAACTCAGTGCATTCTACTTTCTGCACGGCACACGACTATCCGATCTTCAGTGTGATGTTGCAATTTGGTTTTCTGTACATCGCTCTCGCTGCCTTTCCTTGCGCTATGACAGTCTCTTCAATGAAAAACACTTGAAGAAAGTTGATAGTATGAAAATTCAAAATAGGGAAAAAAAGAAATAGAAGATCGAAAAAAAGAGCAAACGAAATCTCACCTTGCAAGAAGTCCATCCAGTGCTTCCCAAGAACCGTCGGAGTTCTCGGGCCTGCAACAGACATGGGAACAAAATTTGCCGAATGGAGAGACAAGAAAAACAAAACAAATAAGAAACTCAACTTGTCAAAAAAGTAGTGAAAAAAAAAACTCTTTTTTTTCTCACTTGTCAAAACTCCTGTATAGAATTCAATTTGCAATATGCACAAATTTTTCATGCTAAATTTGGCAATTCATTTAATTGAAATTCAAACTCATTGAATTTATTTGAAATTAATTCAATAAATGTCATTTCCTTTACTTTACTTTGACGACTCCCCTCCAGGAAAACATCTGTAAGGGCAGTGAGTGGGGCTGTAGGCCTGGAGAGGAACTGCGAGAAAATGGTCCACACATAGAATTGAATGGAACGGAACGGAACCGAACGGAACGGAACGGAACGGAACCGAACGGAACGGAACCAAACGGAACGGAACGGAACGGAATGGAATGGAACGGAACGGAACGGAACCGAACGGAACCGAACGAAACGGAACCGAACGGAAAGGAACGGGACGGAATGGGACGGAACAGAACGGAACAAGATGGATGCAGAAGGAGGGTGGAAAGGGTGAAGACCCTGAAGAGCGAAAGGCAGTTTTTTTTCACGTTGCAGGCTCCAAATTCGAGCCATGGGGTCAAGGTCCCCAAGTCAAAAGAGGCCGAGCGGGCCGAAACAGAAAAGTGTCAAGTCAAGTGCCCCAAAGGCCGCAAAGGTCAGACTTCAAACAGTACCCGACCTCAAAGTCCAGTCCCAGCAGCGCACCAAGAAAAGTCTGGAAGGTACCGGGCCTCAATATTTCAAAAAGAAAAAGCAAACAGGCCGCGGGCCACCGGTACCAGTCAAATCAGGCCCAGACCAAGTCAAGCAGAGGCCAGTGAAGCAAAGGCCCAGTCCAAGTAAAAAAGAAGACTGGCCCAGCCTCATTCGAACAGATTGCTGATTCGCGAGAAGGTGGAAGCACTGTTGGTGCCTGTGCGCTATCACGAGTGGCTGAACGCTAAGGAGCCCTGCTGAGCAGCGCTATGCTGTGGTAGACAGGGGGCCATAGCCGCACAGTAGTAGTAGAAGTAGAGCATGAGTAAGAGGCGGATGTATTCAGAGGCGGATGTATTCAGGGTATTGATCCTCATCGTAGCAGAGACTGAGAGTGCGCAAGAGAGAGAGGGAGAGAGAGAGACTGAGGCAG